GCTAAGGAGGAAGGCAGAACTGGTTAATTTAACATCCGCTGTCCCTATCTTTAAAATATTTATTGTGCACATGAGGAATTATTAATGCAATATGCACCTGAGCACGTTGTCAGGGTACTGGGCACACAGCCCCTCACCCCATCAGAGTCGATGTGAATGCTGCAGGAGCCTTCACTTTGGCTAAAAGGGTTTTTTTACGAGCATTTGTCCCCGCAGGACCCAAACCCAACCCCACCCCACCGAGCGCACACCTCTCCTCTGCCAGGCAACATCCCTGTCTCTGCCTTTCAACAGGCTCCGCTCCTCTCCCGGCCACTCCGCTTTCTGTAACATTTTTAGCACTGTGACGTGCCGTCTTCTGTGCTGTAACACCCTGTACTCCGCTCGGGTATCCGACTCCTTCTGCTGTATGAATTCTGCCACCTAAACGGAGCTATAAAAACTATACAGTGAATTATGTACAAAGACCTCCCCCATTCCCTTACCAGGCCAACTCCATTTTTAGCAATCGCAAGTCATCTCGGATGCACTGAATAAGAGATCGCTACCTGCCTTCAGAGAGCAATTCTGCCTGTTCCCAAGAGGTTGCTGAAAGTGGGATTCACTGTATTTACTGCTGGAACTCCAGCTCTCAGGGTCACATCCTCTCCGAGCTCTGCTGGCCAACCTTAACAGCACAAAAGGATGTGCTGGTGCTGAACAGGCTGACTAATTTCTTGGTGCATTGCAGAAACAATCTTCATGCCTTTCCCGGTTGCCATCTCGAAAGGCCTTGATTTCTTACAGCCTGAACTGTATCAACACCACAATTCGTTCCATCTTTTAAAAGGACTTGGATAAAAGGAGACCCCCTAAAGATAATTTGCTACACAAGAATCTAGAAGTCCCCTGGCTTTGGACACCAAAAGAGAGACACTCAGTGAAGAGCCACGACATGAATCTCCTGAACCGTGTGTTTAGGAATCAAGTCTTTTGGTAACTCCTGAATGATGACGGATAATTTTTGGTGAAGGAAAGTGAGTTTCACATGGCCATACGGTCACAAGCCAGGTCAGTATTTTCTCCAGCCTTCTTTTAGTTACTGCTCCATAGTGAAGCTGAGAAGGGCAGGCAAATTCTCCAGCCTAAATCCCAGTACTGGCCCAGCCCTGGAGGGACAGAGGGAAGAACCGGTACAAGCCATACTCTGCAGAAAAGGCATGAGACAGAACAAAGATGAAAGGCAGGAGATGCCCACTGCCAGGCTGCCTTCTGCCTCCAGCCCTCGTCAGAGGTGGCCTCAGGCAGGGCTCAGGCTGGTGCTGCCCACATGATGGGGAGAGAGAAAGGATATGGCTAATGAGAAGATGCTTCCTCGCTGGACGGGCAGAGTCGTCTCAGACAGTACAAGAACAATCCTCTAAATCTTTATGAGTCATCACCTGCTGTGCTTTTCTAAGGTAAAAATCACCTTAGCTCTTCATAACTTAATCATCTCAGCAGTAGCCAGCAAGACTAAAAATGCCGACAAGTACCACTTATTAGGGACTATGGCAGCTAACAGGCTTTTGTTCCAGCTCCATTTTTGTCTTTCTGCTCCATTTTCAGAAGGAAAAGTGGTTGGCAGGAATAAGTTACACATAAGTCCAGAATCTGAGTGTTGTACATGGTCTCGTGCAGCTGCAGCAAAACCCAGCCAAAACAAGATGTAGGTTGTGCAAGAGCCAGGATAGAGCCAGAGATCCCTGTTGTATCTCAGGGGTTTTTTTTGTGAGTTATTCCTCTATTCAGAATTTTATCCTTGCAGTAATCTTGGTGTCCTGAGACTACCCGGTGGGCACTTGCTACAGCAGGTAACTCCTCTTTTTCAGATTCTGAAGTACATACACAGAAGAAAACACTCGCTGCTGTAGAGATTTGTGACCAGGACTAAAACTGGTCTGGATGATTATGAATAGAAACATTTGTTTCTATTCATAGAAGCACAACCAACTCATCAGCAGGAGACCTGTCCTCTGACGACAGGAGGAGGACATCAAAGTTAGAGAGCACATTGCTTCCATACCCTGCCCGAAGGCAGGCTATGGCCATAAAGATGCCCCAGAGGAGAAAGCAAAAAGGTAGCAGCATGGCTTAAGATCTATGGAAACTGAAAAAAGCAAGACCCCGAAGTGAAAGATCACCCCATAATAACAGGTTAAGTCCTAGAAAGTGTAAGGAACAGTCCAAGAGCCAGCTGGTTCTGCAGAACAAGTCAGAAGACATAGCAAAGGCGTGACAGATGGTGTCCCTGGTCCCCGGCGACAGCACCTGGATGCACCAGGCTTGGTGCCTGCACGGGGCGGGGAGAGTGCCAACGAGTGAAACCTGGGAGTGTGAATGACTGAAAACAGCTTTGTTTAGAATAAATACCACCTTTTCCTTCTAGAAAGTACATTGAGTTTATTATATTAATTTCCTACACTGGCGCACAACCGCTGTGCAGTATAAAAGCTGAGTAATGCAGCCGGGGGACTTTTTGTACGGCAAAAAATTAAATGGATTGGTGTGTTGACATTGTTAGTGCTTACTGGCATGTGCTCGAGCTTAAATTCCAGGAGACACGTCCCTGAGACCAGCTAATCTTCAGTACACTTCATAGTCAGGTAAAACCCTAAAGGGAATATTTTCTTGAAGGAGGGCATAGCATACCTTGGCACCACTCGGAAAGCCCATTTGTATGACTGACAGCAGGTATTTTAAGACCTGCAGCAAAGTTTCACCAAATCTTTGATCATTTCAGTGTGCCACGTTTGGAAGTTGTCCTTTTAGTCCTTACATTGAAAAGGATTATAAAAACACATGGAACTTGGGAAAACAAATCCTCTTGGAAGAGGAGGTTTTGAATCCATTTTCTTCCCTATGTGAACACACCGAAGAGATGGATGGGTGGGAAGAACTAGGGCAACCTCGTCTTGCTGAAAACTGGGTTTTTGACAGTCACTGGTGAAAACTGTCTCTGACCTAGGAGTATCTGCATCGGTCAGAAACCCAGGATTAAAAAGAAAATCAACTTGCCACAGCTAACACAGTCATATGAATCTTCATTTTGCCTCCCTGAGAACACAGCTCCAGCAAACGAGAGAGGTCAAGAGAAATCTGATTTAGGAGAATACATTTCTGTTCCTCAAAGCTATTCCCCAAACAATTCCTTTCTTTATTGCAGGAAAAGAAAGCAAAGAAACTGCCCTCCCACCATGTTTCAAGAGAATAGAGCCTTCTCAGCTCTTTGTACTCTCAACCATGTTTGCTTATCACTTCCAGCTCAGCCAGCCAGCTGCAATTCCCACCGGCTTTCCAGAGGAGATCAATTATCCCACCTAGGAACAAAGTGTCCAGGAACCACTTAATCACACTTTTCAGAGAAGCAAGAGGAGAAACCATCCCACCCCTGGCAGAGGGGCTGGCGAGGATGTCCTGGCAGCATTTGAGGTTGGAATACCAAACGTTAGACTTGTTCTAATAAAGCCGTTTGGATTGTAAGACAGTATTTTTCTTTCTTTGTTGAGCTGATAGCTACATGCCGCCTGCCTTCAGGGTAAAACAGCACTTGTATGGGTGCAATATTTTGTTGGCAGAAATATTCTCTCTCCAGGAAAGCACAATCAAAGCAACCAGCATATGCAATGATAGGACACAGACTTTTCAGAGAATTATACCCTTCCCAGGAGGGTAAGCTATGTAAATATAAAAAGGAAAGAATTCGGCTCGGCACGAAAGCAGATTCTTGCCCCACATTGCCAAGGGATTGAACTTAATCACTAATCCTCTGCATCTCATGGCAGAGGCAGAACTCCAAGCCACAGGACTGTGCTGGTGTAGCAGGAATATTTCCCCGGAGACAGCCACTCACAGAAGAGATAAGGTACATCACAGCTTGGGAGTGACAAGATTGCTATCGCAGCCTGTGCCTCATTACTATTTCCAACCTTCAGCACAGATCTATGATGCCTTTCCAGGATTAGCCTACTTCTAAAGCTAAAGAAAGTCTCTCTTAATTTACAGCCTGTTACTTATTTAACACCAGAATCACATTAATTGAGAGCGCCTTTGGACTATCACAGCGTTTTAGCAGTACAGTGTACTGGGAATACCACGCAGGACTAGAGAGTGTACGGAGTGATGCCAAGTGTGGTATTTGGCTTAAACAGAGCATGGTTTAGGTACACAAACGTTTTGGCCTCATAGCTAGAAGCACGCAATCTGATAGTATATATTGCCCCTTTTTTTAAATACTGTTTGTTTTTGTTTCCCCTAAAGATTCCCATGAATGGTCATCTTAATAAAATGATGATAATCTCCATATATGGCTTCAAATAATGGAAACACAAAAACGAGACTTGGAGACAAGTCAGCCCCCAAAGTTCTGGCCTAAGGACCCCCTGCTTTACATTGTGGTATAAAGCCTAAGCACAGCAAAGCATGTCATAACTTTTCCTGGGGTCGAAAACCGTGTCTAAAACACATTCTTTCAGGACACTGTAACTCAGATGAAACAAAAGAAAGCTTCTTACCAAAAGCATACACAGGCTTCGAAATATGTATTTTGATGTAAGAATGACTATTTTGCTACTTGCATCCTTTACATCACCTTGGCATTTTTTTTCCCCTCTCAAATCAAAAGGCTATCTTGAAATAGGGAAGAGGGACAGTGATTGCGCAACATTAAAGACTTCTGGCTTATAATTTATTACCAGTAATGAGTCTCAGCTATTCACCCTGAATTATTCTTCTAAAGGCAAAGCAGTTAAAAGTAATGGGTATATGCTTCAGCTCAGAATAATGAGGACACTAAAAAAGTATATAAACAGCTAGAGTATGTGCCAGGTATGCAGGCAGAGAGATCTGCTCTACTCTAATTGAATGGGCAGCACAGGCAAGTGAGACAAACACATCATCTATCACGCTGGATGAAAATTAATAGGTATAAGAGGAACAGTGCATCCCACAAATGATTACCCAGCTCCCTTGCAATGACTTACTTTCCCTCTGATCCATAGCTGTTCATGCTGTCCTCAATGGACTCATGGCTGGCTTGACGGACGGTCCGGCTGGGCATTTCCACAGCCAGCCCAGTTTCTGTGCTCCTTTGGATGGCTCCTTTCAGTCTCCGACCATCCCCATCTAGGAACAGAAGGGGAGAAAAGACAGTCAGCTATCGTTCCCAGAGCCTTTTGACATGGCAGAGTCAAGGAGAAGCCGAGAAGGTCTTTCAGATCAGGCTGGCATCTGGCAGCCAGGCAGTATTTTGCACTCTCAGAGCGTTTCATTACTCAGCCCTGCTTCATCAGCAGCCCCCAGTCATCTCTGGAACAAACCCAGTGCTCCAGCAAGCCAGGGCCCAGCAGAAACCCAACCCATCCACACCACCCTACCTGCTGCGACCGTTTGTACCAATTAATTATGCATCGAGTGCAGGTGCATGCAGGCACACAAGCTGACTCTACATGGAGGTACCCAGCTGGGGAGCACAGGAGCAGTAGCCACGGGCAGAGCAGAGGTGTACAGCCTGCCCATGCCTCAAAATGGTTCCTAGATCCTGTTGCTAATTCCTAAAAATATTGCTGCCTCAGATGGTGCAGAGCAGTGAAGCGCTGCAGCTCTTGGTCAGCATCAAGGGAGCAGAGGGGAGGAAAAGGCTGGGGAACACCAGAGGTGCTGTGAAGGCAGGAGCCCTCCCAGACAGGCCACAAGGGAATAGCTGGGCACAGCCAAAATGTTCCCTGGTGGCACCTGGAAAGACACCAGCAGTGGAAAACCCTGGAGAGGACTATTCCCCTTCACACCCGCCCTCAGCCACAGCGCAAAGGGAATTCAGGAGGTTCTGGTCCCTCCTGGGTGCAGTCTTCAGAGGCTCAGCCCTCTGAAATTAAGAGCTGCTATTTTCATCCTCCCTCTCCAGCAGCCTGTTTCCCAGAACAAACCATCTTATGTAATGAACATGTAATGAATACCATTACTATTAATTGCTTTAGCTAGTGTTAGGAGGCTCCAGATTTCATCCCACATACAGCACTCATCCTGAAACACATCCGCCACAAGTTTTCTGAACAAAGCAGAATTATCTAAATCCTTTAAAGATGCCCGTTCCTCGTCAGGAAACAAACCTCTGGCCCACAGAAACCCACCAGTGTTTTGAGTACCACCCCTGGAGAAGAAGTGACCCAGCTACTGATTCTAGAGAACTTGGATGCTCAAATATTAAAGAAAACCAGTCTTTCCCAACTGCTTTGGAAACAAGAGGGTATCTGTAAAAACCTGTCTAAAATACATGGAATGTTGCTATTTGTGCAGCAAGCTGCTTGACCTAAAATACTTTTCTTTAGATCTTGGTGTGAACAGACACTTTTAAAAAAAAATCAGTAAGGTATCAGAAATGCTTCCTATCCTACTTCTCAAATTATACCTACACTGAAATGCAAAACCAAAAATTCTTCTATAAATACAGCTATAAAGTCCCTTTTCCTCTGGTATCATGAGGTTTCCAACTGGGTAAACGTGTTGGCCCCAGGGCTCTGTACCAGCTGCTGCCCCCACATATGGTGCAGCGTGTGTATGTGTGTCCCCATGGGCTGCAAGGATAGAATATGCATGTTCTGGGTTAACGTTAACTACAGCGTGGATTGTTTGTGTGCCTAGAGCAATGCATGGAGCACATTGTATAAATCAGGAAGTTACACAAACGTAAAACATTTTTAACGTGCTTTCAAAATCCAGACCTTCAGGCAAGAATAATATTATAGGCATCAATAAAACAAAGCCTGATGAAACAGCCTCACCTACTCTCCCAGCCACTGCAGAACTGTTCCCTTTGACGCACCTTCTATAAGCCTTCTACAGCTCACTGGATCCTCTGATGGGGTCTCTAGGTTCCTCTCAGAGAGCATCCCATAGCCTCGCGGGCAGACTTGATGGTCCATTTAATTTGTCTCACATTCACCTCCACAAACAATCTTTTAGTCATCTACATCCATCAATGCCCATCCCTCCATGTGTGCTCTCTCAGAACACTCATCTTTCCACTCCTTTTAGTTTAGTCCTTACCAGAGCCTTGGCAGGCGACCAGAGGCAAAGCGGCAAATGACATAAACGTAGGAAACAAATTAAAAATACCCTGTTGCCCAACTATGCGACATCTGTTTAAAAAAAAAAATCTCTTATTTCTCAAATCTAATGAGACACGTCTGGAGACATTCATACCTAGAAGACTATGCATCCACATCTGGCAACAAACTGAAGGCTTGGGAGAGAGCAAGGCTTTAAAGCAACCCAAGGTGCTTCCTTCTTTCTATCAGCCCCCTCCTGATCCAGAGTTAATGGGATAAAATTGATGGGCAAGGGCTCAAAGACAAGGAGAGACAGGCAGTACCAGAGCACTGTACCAGGGACGTTTAGCTGCACCACCACATGCCCTGCTTTGCACTGCTGGCTTTCTATGAGCGAGTGGTTTTCTAGTGTTCCTGATTGCTTTTACAGCTATAACACACAGATATTCTTATTAAAAATAAAAAAGTTAAAAAGGAGAAACTCTAGAAAGCAAGAAGACAGGACTAGATGACAAGAATCCTTCATTCCTCCCTCCTCTTCCAGACAGAGATGCACAGCAACTCCTGCATCTCACAAACCATCTTTCATTATTCTGGAGAAAGGTTTCTCCAGCCTTTTCCCCCTCCAGTCTCTTTTTGCCAAAAGTTTCCCTTGAACAGAAGGGGAGGAAACTCTTTTGCCAAAAAGGCAAGCTCCCAAACCACTGTGGCCAGAGTCAACACTGAAACAGGGTAAGACATTGACATAAGCAGCAGCGATGCCATCAGAGGGACATCAGTTCCTAAATCACTCACTTAACCTTTTAGTCAAACTTTACCCATAGTCAGTGCGTTACAAAAATCCCTTGAGTTGGGAGAGAAGGGCAAATCAGAAATAGCAAACCTGGAAAGGAAATAAATACATACAAGTCTGCACTGCTTGCCTACGGACCGAAAATATTTTAGAAGCCATAGTCACCTACCAGCAACCTCCTCTGGCCAGCGCGGAGCATCGTATGGGGCTGTGCCTCCTCCCCTACCTGACATCGTGTGCTTCAACCTCTTTGCAAATGAAGAAGGTAGATGATTTGCCTCTATGAGGGTGCTGCCTGGCAAAACTGTTTATCTTAATTTCATTGTTAGCAGTATCTAGAACAAGTAAAAGCAGTATTGACATTTTCTGCAGTGTCCCCAAATTTATTCCCTGCACCTTTTCCAATTAAGCAGGAAACGCCAAAGGTTAAGCAGCCGGTCGAGCCTGGAGTGCAACACGCAGCTGAAAAGCAGATTCTGCTTCAGAATGACCTTGGGAAGAACGAATTTTTTGCCCAAATACCAAGGCTGAAGACACCCAGCACCCCACAGATGCCACAAACCAGAAGGGACCAGCAGACGTTTTGCCAAGTTTTCTGTGTTGACAGGCACTTTGATTTCCCTCTGCCCAGCCAAGCAATTTCTGTTTGGCTAAAGAGTATCTTCTGAAAAGCTCCCCACTCTGGATTTGGAGATATCAAGAGATGAAGAATCTGTCATTTGCCTGGGCGCTTGATTTTACTACCTGACATTTAGAGATGTGACTTAACTTTGTCTGGTTTCAGCTTTCAGCCTTCAGTTTTTTTCAATGCCCTTCTCCACCGCGAGAGCTGCTTTGTGTTCTTACTATAAAGACTCTTCTGCAGCGTAATCAAGTCATCTCTCACTCTCTTTTGACAAGTTAAACAGACTGAGCTCTTTATGTTTCTCATGCTCTGGCATTTTTTTCTCCTACCCTTGAATCTTTTTAATGACCTCCCCAGGTTTTAAATGCCCTTTTGAGAACATACACGGCAGAACCGGAGACTGCATTTTAGCGCAAAAACACGTACAGAGGTAAAAATCAGCTTGTACTCTCATCTTCCCTGCTTCTGCCTGCATCTCCCAAGACCACAGTAAACTCTTGGTACAACATCACACCCCGCCTGGATGCTGTGCAGTCCCTGCCTGTCCTGCTGGTACCACCTTGTAGAACGTTATATTAAGAAATACCTAAGAAAACACATTTTATTTGACGGGAGAGAGCAAAAACTCCAGATAGCTCTTTATAACTCGCCCACTCTCAATACCACTTACTAACATGCTAATGTGCATATCACCTGAGAATATAGTAAGGTCTAAACTCATGCTTGCTCCAAAATCAAATGGAAAAATTAGATTGCACCAGGCCCTTAAAAGAGCTTCCTGCCTTTGAGGCTCTGCCTTGATAACCGCTTTTTGAGATGCGAAGTAAAATTCTTATCTATCACTATCTGATTTTTTTAGGGTCATGTTGTTCTAGGACAAAACCCTTACATACCCATCACATTTACCCAGATACCTGCCTCTACTAAAACTCGGGAGAAAAAAAAAAAAAGATCTGATAAGACCCATTTTCCCTAAATCCTACTTGACTGGTATTAATTATATTACCATAATTCTGTTCTTTATTAATTGGATCTCATTATAATGTTTCCTCTAATTCTGTCTGGAAGTGACATCAGACCAAATAACCAAAAGTTTCTTCCAGACGACCCAGTAACGGATGAAGAGGAGCAAGGTGACAGTGCAGGACCCGCGCAGAGAAGAGCAGAGCATCCTTTGGAGACTTCCCTTCCTTAAATATAGTTCCAGAAGTAAATAAATAAATAAAATAAAAGAGCAGCATTGTCCCCTACTCTCCCCCAAGGAAAGAGTCACTGTTTCTCACATCCTTTTCTGTGTCAGTCTAATGCACAACTCTTCCTCTGCTGCTGACCGGTCTCTCCTTGCCCACAGAACAGCAAGTCTTGAAAAAAATCTATGCAAGTTCTGCAATCGTTCATCACAAGGTCATCATTCTATAATTATTACTACTACACAGAATTACTCCGTATCCAATAGATGTTTATTGAGTTGACGTTTCTGAGGGATGGAGCATGCCCCTTTCACTACCTCCTCTCTTGTTGTTTCCTTTTCCCCCACCCAAGTGTTTGGTACCTTCTTTCTTCCTTCTCTTTTCCAGCTTGGTCTCAATTTTCTCCTCCATGTTTGCACAGTTTGCTGGGTGCCACCAACACAAAAAGAAACCAGCATGATACATGTGCT